TTTTCACTTTGTTCTATGAAGATAGGCACCATAATCTTGGCAGTGCTTTGGGCCTCTCTATATGTCCCTGGTATTAATGAACACTTGTTATAAGAAAAGGTTCATCTTTATACTGCCAATGTCTGGCACAGATGAAGTAACTACAACAGTTCATGTGGAATGAGTGAATGAATGAATGAATGAATGAAGGACCATGTCCCGTAACTTTTGGAATTTGGCATCTCAGGGCTGAAGTCAACCCAAAGTATGCATTATGTGAACTCCAAACCCTGTTCCTCCCTCCACCCAGCCCACTGTCCCTAGCCCCTACCCCAGCAGCTCTGGATGCTGTCCCGGACTTCAAGACCCCTGCAGTCTGGGGAGAGATCACAGAAAAACCTCCAGTGGGGCTGAGGGCCAAGGAAAGAAGGGAGGCAACCCAACCCATGGGGAGATACTGAGCGGGGCTACCTGTGCCCCGAAGATCACCCACATTTGTGTGGGCATAGAGCACCCATCCCAGGAGCTGGAAGTACCAGGAACTGGCTATGGAGGAGAGGATACCAGCTCAGATTCCTGCCTGTAAGTAATAGAACTAGGAAGAGGGGGAGTGACCAGAGGGACCACAGACTAGGGGACCAGGGTTCTGGGTCACTTACCAGGAAGCTGCTGTGTGACATTGAGTTCTTTCTGGTACCTGGGCTGAGTGTAGGACCAGATTCGCACCTCAGCCCCAAGACCAGCCTCGAAACAGTCAAACACTGCAGAGCCCTAAGAGGAGAGGGTGGTACAGGGCTCAGAAGCCAGGCCAAGATCTCGAGCTCAGGTGGACAGACCACTCTGCTCACCCACTGATTTTTTTGGAGGGGGCAGAGTCTCTCTGTGTAGCCCTGGCTGTTTGGGGAACTTGCTCTATAGACCAGGCTGGCCTCGAACTCACAGAGAACTGCCAGCCTCTGCCTCCCAAGTGCTGGGATTAAAGGTATTTGCCACCACCATCCAGCTAAATTTCCTTTTTTGAACAGGTCCCCAGTTCTGAAGCAAGTGTCTGCCTGTGTTGGTAGGCTTGGGATTAACCAGGCCATCTGCATTGCTGCCTACACCTGTTGTCATGGGCCACTTGACGGGGGGAGGGGGGAAGCTGATCAGATATGCTAATACAAGCACCTCAGTGTGTTCATGGCTGCACTGTGGAGTCAACTCTGCAGATTAAAAAAATGTGTGCGTACACATACATGTGTGTGTGAGTATGTATGCATGTGAGTGTCCGTGCGCGTGTGTATGTTCATGCATGTAGTGTGTGCATGTGTGAGCGTGCATGCATGTGTGCGTGCATGCGTGTGTGCGTGCATGCGTGTGTGTGTGTGTTGCTGGGAATCAAACCCAGGACTTTGAGTATGTTAGGCAAGAGCTCTATCACTGAGTTACATTCCCAGCCCTTCATTCTTATTTTATAAAGTCATCAAAAGTTAAAAAGGACTTTTCATGAAGGAAGTCATAAACAGCCAATAAGCATGTAACAAGTGACTTTGTCAGTCATTAGGGGTATGCAAATTAAAGCTGTAATGAATACCAAACATAGTGGCATGTACCTATAGTCCTAGCACTCAGGAGGGTGAGGCAGGAGGAGTTCAGCCTAGACTACACAGCAAGATACTGTCTAATTAAAAACAAGGTCTGAGAATGTAGCTCAGTAGTAGACAGTTGCTTAGTATGTACAAAGCCTTTGGTTTCATCCCCAGCATGCCCATCCCCCACATTCACACACCAAACCAACAACAAAAACACCAGCCAGTGGGTGCCTAGATGCCTGGTAGGTAAAGTGCTTGCTACCACGCTTGACAACCTGAGCTCAATCCCCAGAACCTTTATGGTAATAAGGAGAAAACAGACTCTAAGTTGTTGTCTGCCCTCCATATGAACCCCCAGGAAACATACATACATAATAAATAAACAAATATAATTTAGAAATATAAACATTACCACCGCATATGTCCACACAAATCCCCAGTTATAAACCACAGCATACATAGCAGAATGACTAACATTTAAATTAAAAAATGCCAAGTGTTGGCAAAGATGGAAGCAATTGGAAGCCCTATTTGCTGCTGGTGAGAGAATGAAATAAAATTGTCCAGATAACTGCTTAGTGACTTCTCACCAAGTCAAACATGTGATGTAGACAGAAAAAAACACCATGAAGGCTGAGAGGGGTCATTGCTTACATCAGACCCAAGATTTAAAGAAACACTGCCTGGGATTGTGGCGGGAATGTCAGATTTAGAACGTGGCTACTCAGCAGGAGGAGCACTTCACATACCACAGACTGACCAGGCTGCACCAGGACAGCGGGCACCTGTATCTCCAGCAAGGCACAGCGGGTAGTGGGGTAGGCCTGGAAGGAGAGCACCACCTGGGCCAGGAGAGATGCTGTGGGCAACAAACAGGGGTCAGCCAGGCCATGGGAAAGACCCTGGCAGAAAACAGCGGCTGGGCCAACTGACTCCTCACCATTTCTAGGTTCTTGGAGTTCTAAATCAGAGTTTTCCCCTTCTTCAGGCTCTTCCCAGCCCCCTGCAAGGAACAAAGAAGAGAGTAAAGCCAAAGTTAGACACTTTCTCTGGGCTTAGATTCCCTTCCAGAAATGCCACGGTTGGTAAGCAGAGGCCTGGGAGAACAGGCTGGCCTAGGGATGCTTGGGCCAGTGTCTCCAACACTGCAGATGTGCACAGAGTCTGCAGTCCTCATGCCTTTCCCAGGCACTCTCATGTGTGCTCACACAGTCACAGGACTCCCCACTCACCGTGCACAGCCAAGTGCACAACCACGCGGACACAGAGGGCACAATCAGTCTCCTGTGGGCACCGCAGCACCAGCTCCGTCTGTAGGCACGTAGGCACCAGTACAGGGCCCGGGGCAGACTCGATGCTTCCAGGCAGGCAGAGCACATCACCATCTGGGTGTGAAGGGCGGAGTGGGAGCTGAAGCTGCTCAGAGCCTGGTTTGGCTTCTGACACCTCCAGAGGGCAGGGGAGCTAGCTCAGCCTGGCCTCTCGGGGCTGGGGGTAAACAGTCCCTTCCCTTTCAGCTAATCGGAAGTTAAAGTAGCAACACTTACCCCAGAGGTGGCAGGAAAGGCCCTGTGAAGGAAGGAAGGAAAAGCAGTTTACACCCCCAAATCTCAGCACCTTCCCTTGCTTGACAACCCCTACCCCTGCCTACCTCCTTCTGGGGCTCCCTACCTCAAGCCCTTCCCTGAAGACAAGACTAATTCTTGTCCCCTTTCCATCATCCCCATCAGCACCAGACAGACCAGACTGGGCAGTTCTGATGGAGTCAGTGACAGGAGCCAGATTAGGGCTGTGAAGAGGCACAGACTGAACTCTCAGCCTTCCCCAGCTTCCCAGGGCCCCAGACTCACTAGAGAGCAGCGTGCAGTGTCGTGAGGCTCCACAAGCCTCTCCAGAGAAACCACCACAGGGCTCCGGCCCAGAGCCAAGGACAGCAGGAACCAGGACATTGGCATCTTCCAGGTGCTACACAGCACCCAGGCCTGAGGCCCGGTCCTGCCCCCCCAAGGGGGGGCAGACACCCCACCCCTGCTGCCAACCAGCCCTGTGTCCCTGGGAAAGAACAAGGGCTAGAATTGCTCTCCAGTCATACTTTCCCACTCGGAGCCCGGACTCCGGGCCCAGTTTCAGCTGGAGTGCTTTCGGTTTGACTCCCAGCAGGCTGTTCCCGCCCCACCCTGTCCTGTCCCTCCCACCAACTCCAGGCTTAGGAGCGGCAGCTTTGGACTGGGGTGGTGGCCTCTCCTCCTCCTCCTTGGCCGACACCTGGTTGGGAGGAGCCCTGGGAAGGCAGCACAGCTGGAGCCAAGCTGAATAAGGTAACTCTTACCCTGGATTTCTTCAAACACAAAGACTACCTACGACTGAGAAGACCCCAGACTTGTGGCAAGCCGGCTTGTGGCAGCTCAGGTGTCTCCACTTCCTGTATGACCCCGGACCCCACTGGCCCACTGGGTTCCCCTTTACTAGACACTTGCGTTCTTCATAGACTTCCCTAGACCTCAGAGACAGTGACCCTCGCAAAACAGGAGCTCTGAACACAGTGAGCTGGTACCAAAGGGCACCAGAAAGTGGGCTTCTCCCCACTGCCTGGCCCAGGCTCAAGGAGGACACAGAGGGGTAGGCAGGGCCTGGGAGACCCAGAGTTCACTCAGCAGAGGTTTTGTTGTGCTGCTGTGGGACTAGAGGAGTGGGGTGGGCATGGTGCCCAGCTGAGCTTTGGTTTTTCCTTTGCTCTCAGAAGAATCACAATGAGGTACTGGACCTCCTTGCCTCTCACAGGTGACACTTGTATGAGGCCACAGACAAGGACTGTGAGCTGCCCTAGAACAAGCCTAGGGCAGGCCCAGGCACACAAAAGCAACACACTGTGGTCCTTAATTTATCTACTAAGCTCGCTTTTATTCATCTTTCTGGATGAAAGAAAACCCACTCTCTCACCAACGGAGGGGGCGCATGCCTTTACCCCAGCACTCAGGAGGCAGAGGCAGCGAGATCTCTCTTCGTTCCAGGCTATCCAGGGCTACAGTGTCTGTCTCAAACAAACAAACAAAAACAAAGTAAAACAAAAAGTCAAACTACCTCTGAATAGGGCTTCCCTCTGGAAAGGGTGACCCACTCCTTGCTTACAAGGGGTTTCTCTCAACTCCACTGAGCAGAATCACCTTTAAGACCTTGACATATAGAGCCTGCTTCCCAGCCTTGGCTCAGCTCTGCAGCCTGGATTACAGTATATGCTGCAGGTAACTGTCTTTGCAGTTTCCGAAAAGAAAATGGAAAAATCGCCCCTCTTCCTTAAAAAGGGCCCAACTTTCTCTCAGGGACTCCGAGAGGGAGCGAATGTGAGAACGAAGCTGGACAAGTTTGGGGCCTGGGGTGAGTCTTACAGTTTTGAGGGGGGCAAGAAATCCCCAAAGAGTACAAGTTTGAGGCCTCATTTTGCAGTTCCAGCTGTTGCTCCCTAGGCTGAGGCTACAGACAACTGGAACCACAGGGATGATCGGTTGAGCTTTGGTAGTCAACTTTGGCGGCAAGTTCCAGCCGGTGACACAGCTCCAGGCGGCTTTGCAAGCACTGCTTAGCCCCAAGATGACTCCAAGTGGTGGCTAGGGTGGCAGGTCGAGCATCCAGTGCCCTCAGCAGGCGTGGCAGGTCACGAAACAGGCGGTAGCGTGGCAGAGTGCGCAGAGGCCGGGGGATGTCGCCTTTGGCGCAGAGGCGACTGAAGTAGGCAAGCAGCAGCCGGTGTGGAGCAGCGCAGAGCAGGGTGCGCAGGGACGCAGTCTGCGAGTCGCCGCTGCCGGCTGGGCTGGGGCCTGCACAGTTCCACAGCAGCAGCACCGTGCCCTGCTCCCGCACCACGCGCTCCCGCGCAGCCCAGAGCCATGGCAGTGGTCCAATGCGTGCCACATGCGTCCCCTCCCAGAGGTCCACGATGACGTCGCGCCCGCCGCCCAGCGCGGTCCGCAGCAGTTCGGCCAACGCTCCCACCAGGCGCCGCTGGGCCTCTGAGTCCGCTGCGTGCAGTAGTAAAATTGGCCGCGCTTGGCCTGGACCTAGGGACCGGAGCAACAGCTGAGTGGTGTGTGTGTGTGTGTGTGTGTGTGTGTGTGTGTGTGTGTGTGTGTGTGTGTGTGTGGCGGGGAGACAGACCAGCTGAGTGTGGTGTGGTGTGTGTGTGTGTGTGGGGGGGAGACAGACCAGCCCTCCCCTAGAGGCCTCCGGCCTACACTCTAGAGCGCCCTACACTCTGTGTCCTTTATTCGTTCTGGGAGTCAGTCCCTTAGCTGAACCTATTTGAGGAATAAAGGCTAATGAGGAAAACATGCAGTTTCTAGTGCACAGCAGGCTGGATTATAAACACTCCCTACCCCATCCCCGCCCTCGCCTCCTGTGGTTTTGGTGGTACAGATAGAACCCACACCCACAAGCCCTTTGCCCTGTCTTAACCATTCCTGTCCACTAGGGGGCCTAAGAATAGCGGTTTGAGCTTTTCCCTAGTTTGATCAAGTGGTGCCAGGAATGTTTGTCTTGGCTACCCCAGGTAAACTTACCTGGCAGTAGGCGCCGGCAGAAGAGGACCAGAACTACGCCCAGCAGAGTGGTGAGGCCCAGCAGTGCCAGGACCAAGAGCCCCAGGTGTCTATGGGAGACTGAATCCAGCAGGGTGAAGCCAAGCTATCTCTTCAGTGCCCAAGCTCCCTCTCCTCTCACCCAAGAACTCACCATAAGGACACAAAAGGTGCTTCCAGGCAAACTGGACATCTGACCTCCACACCTGAGAACATACGGCCCCCACTCATGTGAGCTAGAGCAAGCCCTCCCTCCCAGGGAAGGAGTCCCCACTGGCTTAGGAATTCCTCCAGCTCCAGTTTTGGGTCTTGTACAGTCCCTGAACTGACCAGGCCAAGGTGGCAAATGGCAGTGAGACCACAGCGGCTCCCACAGTTGGCCTGGGATGGAGAGTACAAATTAGTCAGCCACCAACCACTGAGTGTTAGGCCTCATGGACATATAACACCAGGTTTTCTCCTTTTTCATGGGAAGGCAAAATATCAGTGTTTTATTTTGTTTTTTTTTTCTGGTTTTTCGAGACAGAGTTTCCCTGTAGCTTTGGAGCCTGTACTGGAACTAGCTATTGTAGACCAGGCTAACCTCGAACTCACAAAGATCTGCCTGCCTCTGCCCTCCGAGTGCTGGAATTAAAGGTGTGCACCACCACCGCCCGGCTCAGTGTTTTGTTTTGTAGATAACATATAACTAGTGACCACTAATTCCAATTTAAAACACTTGGCCAAACCAAACCCATTTATGGACTCTGTGCCAGGGAATTTGTGAGGGGTGGGGTAGGATTTCTTACCAGGATGCAGCTCCCCGGCTTCAAGAAGGGAATGACGAGGTCTAAAGTCACCGGGACTGAGCCCTGGGTCTGTAGGGGCAAAAGTAGAATGCTTGTCCCCGTATAGGCAGACCTGATAGGGTCTCATCCACCTCCATCCTACCTAGATAAAGGAATAAAGGACCCAGTGCCACCTCCAGACTTCCTCGGCCACCCTTGCCAATGCTGACTCTTCCCAGATATTAACTGCTGCAGCTGAGCTCACACACACACACACAAAGGAAGAAGGTGGGCACATTGTCTTTGTCCTGCAGCATGCATGCATCCCTTCACCCCCCTGCACAACTGAAGAGGCATCTTGTTCCCTGGCAGAGTGAGCCATGGAGCCTGGCGGCCTAGGTTGAGGCTTGACTGTGCCCTTTCTAGTTCCTGGGTTCGGGACTGTTCTGTGCACTTGGATGATACCTTCTCCTTTCCCAGCCTCAGATTCTTTATTTGCATGAGGGACAATAATCTTTAGTGGGTTACTGGAAGCATTAAGTGGAAATATGCATATAGATGCTTTTAATACACTGATAATGTTGAAGCAGCTGTTATTAGGCTAAGAACAGGGGGGCAAAGCCTGTACTGTATGCTCTTCTTATACCTCCTGGTGCTAACATAGGGTGGGCAGAGATGTGTGCTGGACTGAAGAGAACTGAGTGCTGTCTACGGATGAGACCTGGCTCCACTCTGTCCACATGTTAATCACGGACTGGCCAGTCATCTCTACCCGTTATTAACACCTCTCACCTACTCTGTACCCCTCACCTGCCTGACTCCACTCTGGAGGCAACTGACAAGCAAGTAGATACTCTAGAGCTCAAATGTTTGCTACCACCTGCTGTGTGGAGCCCATAGACTGCCAGCTGCAAGGCAGCCTTTGAGGGTGAACTGTGGAGAGCGCAGGATGCTGGGTTAGCTGAGTGCTGCGGTTTTGCCATTGTGGTTTTTAAATCAGATGCACAGAACCAAGTTGGCTAGCTAGTCAACCCGAGCAGTACTGAACAGTGAGTCCTTCAGCTTCCAGGGGTCTCTTGAAAGTTGGTGAATGTGAATTTTTTTTTTAATAAAAGCAGCCCCCACAGGCTCATAGGGAGTGACATTAGTAGGATGTATGCCCTTGTTGGAGTAGGTGTGACTTTGTTGGAAGAGGTGTACCACTAGGGGCAGGGCTTTGGGGTCTCAGATGCTCAAGTCAGATCTAGTGTGTGGCATTTTCACTTCTGCTGCCTGTGGATCAAGATGTACAATACAAGTCTCAGTTACCTCTCCAGCACTATGTCTGCCTGCACGCCGCCATGCTTCCCACCATGGTGATTAATGGACTACACCTCTGAACTATAAGCCAGCCCCAATTAGAAGCTTTCCTGCCAGGCAGGTGGCGGCAGTGCACACCTTTAATCCCAGCACTCGGGAAACAGAGGCAGGAGGATCACTGTGAATCTGAGACCAGCCTGGTCTACATGGCAAGTTCTAGGACAGCTGGGGTTTACACGAAGAAACCCTGTCTCGAAACACTCCCAGGCAAAAATGTTTTCCTTTATAATCATCACTGTGGTCACTGTGTCCCTTCACAGCAATAGACACCCTAACTAAGACAGTGAACTTTTACACTAGTGCCTTGTGGAGGCATGAGACCTGAGAGATGGCAGCTGGGGTGAGGGTGGCATCGATATACAATGTAGGGCAGAGGAAGTGACTCAGTACCTGCCTTTGCTGCGCAAGCATAAGCACCTAAATTCAAATCCCAAGTATCCAGATTTAAAATAGAGAGAGAGCCGGGTAGTGGTGGCGCATGTCTTTAATCCCAGCACTTGGAAGGCAGAGGCAGGTGGATCTCTGTGAGTTTGAGGCCAGTCTGATCTACAGAGTGAGCTCCAGGACAGTTAGGGCTACACAGCAAAACCCTGTCTAGGGGAGAAAAAAAAGCCAGGCATGGCAGCATATTCACGCAACCCCAGCACTGGGGTCAGAGACAGGTGAATCCCAGTATCTCACTAGACGTCCACCCTAGCTGGAAACAGGGAGCTCCAGGTTCAGTGAGAGACCTTGTCTCAAAGAAATGAGGTGGAAATGAATAGACCTCTGGACTCTTGATTCACACCTACAGGCGTGCGTATCTACGCATACGTACGCTCCACCACACACACAACGTGGTGACAGCTTTGGTGGGCTAGAGACTAGGTGACGGTGGGAGTGCCAGCGTCTGAGGGACTGAGACTTAGGATCCCCTGCTGAAGGACCCCATGGGTTAACAGAGGACCAGTGATCCAAGGCTGGTCAAGTAAATAGTCTATGACAGATGCCAGGATGCAGGCTTTTCTGCCTCTACCCACCTGGGGTTGGCCTCACTGAAGTAAAGGGGGGTTAGAGATGTGCATCAGTCAAGAGAACCTGGTGAGAACCAGAGCCCAGCTAGGCCGTACCTGGCTGATGCTATACACAGGAGGCATCAAGGTATCGAGCCCCAAGCCTGGGTCACTCCAGGCAGCACTGAAGGTAGCATATGTCCTCGAGGAAAAGTGCAGAGTCAGTTGCTGGCCCTGGGTGTCCATGCTCACGGTCCAGGATGGGGCAGACCCTGTTTGTGGGAGGTGATCAGAGTTGGGTGTACTGGGCCTGGAGGTCACAGGTGAGGGAGGTTAGGTGTGGAAGAAGGGACTCCTACAGACTCACCGCTCTGGTGGGGGCATTCAACATGGCTGCTATTCTCAAAAGAAAACTGAAACACAGGAATGGCAAGTCAGCAAGATCCAGTCCCATCCCTCCCTCCACCCACTGCCAGCCCCCTGCCCATGGCTGTACCTTAAAGCAGAGCTGAGGATGCAGATCCACATTCCCTAGGACATACCACTGTTAAAAAAAAGGGGAGTTAGGGAGAAGATCTCTGGGCCCCAACCCTGCCCACCTCAGTTCTGGAGGGAGGGGGCTGTCCTTACTCCTTCCGATTCCTGTGCTGTGGCATTGGGGAGGGCTTCACAGGGCATGAGTGGGTCCTGCCTCTGGCAGAGGGAGGCCTCCAGTTTCAGTGGGCAGCGGAGTGTCAAAGCCATGGCCATTTGACTGTGTTGGCTGTAGTCAGTGAAGTGAACTGACTTCCAGAAGTCCGAGCCATCTGGGCAGGTGGTAGGGCTAAGGATGAGGCTGTAGCTCCATCTCCCCACCCCCACCGCACCCCAGGGCACAGGAGAAAATACCAGTGTACCAGCACAATTTCAGGCTTTACTGGGGCTCAGTAGGCAAGCACTCCTCCACTCCTCCACCCCTCTTCCCTCCCTCCCTCTCTGTCCAGCTTCCTTAGCATTATCTTCCCATCCTGGGTCTCCCTCCATTCTGAATACCCCTTACTGCGCCCTGTACTCCAAATCTATGTGGGCTCCTCTCAGACTCTGAATGTCATCTCTGTTAGCTCTTCTTTCTAAATCCTGTCCATTTTCTGAGCTCAGCTCATGTGCCAGTTCCTCTGAGACAGTGTCCCTGGGTTTCTCCTTCCATGATGCCCTGCAGACAGTCCTTGATGATAACCCTGCCTACAGAGGCTTTGTGTATATCTGTGTATAAGGAATGTCACCTCTTCTCAAGGTCACCGCTGAGCATACAGCACTCCAGACAACACCAGCTACTTTCCCGTTAAATATTCCACTCAAGCCTCGTAAACAGTTTTGAATTTTACAGATGAGGGGGTGGAGGGGAGAGCCTCTGGGGGATAACCCACGGCAGAGCTGGGAAGTGAGCCTAGGGTCTCTAGCTGGTCTTCACATGTACCATTCCCTGGGTGACCCTCTTCCACTCAGAATGTTCAGCACTCAGGAGCTCGTCTGCATGCTGACCATTAGACACTGTGCCCCTCTCCCCTCCCCACCCCACTCCAGACAATAATGTCCTCATGTCACCTGGGGTCTTCCTCCATCACACACACATGGGGGGGGGGAGGGGGAGGAGTATGAATGTGCATCAGGATCAATACAAACAACACTCACAGGCTTCAGGCCAGTGCTGGAAGGGACACTTTTTGCGCCTCACAGTGTCCTCCTGCAGGTAGGAGGCCTGGGGAGCATAGAGAGAAATCAAGAAAATGGCTTTTCCAACATCACCCTTCAGGATCTAGCTTACTGTTATGAAGCAGCTTGAGCTGCAGGACACTAACTGGGGAGCGATGTGGAGTAAGGGCAAGGTTTAGAGTTCCAGAGCACAGGTAAGAACGGGAAATGAGGGGCTGACTATTCCTGTCTCCAAAGAACTGATCCCAGCAAGAAAGAGATCCCAAGGGTCACATCCCTCAATTTTAGGCTTTCTGATCTCCATTCTTCCTTTCTCAGTGTACCCAGTACTCTGTGTTAACTCCTTATTCTGGATTCCCTAAGAGTCCCCCGGTTGTCTTCTCTGACAGGTTCTTGTTTCCCAGGGCTCTGTCTACACTCTCCTTTTAGTACCTGTCTTCCCCTGAAAACGTTCAAAATCTCTTTATCTTCAGATTTACAAGGAGAAATGGAGGGTTACAATAGAGGCTGGAGAAGTCATGACTTCAGGAGAAACACGCAACCTTGGCTCTCAAGAACAGAGTGATGGGGGCTGGAGAAATGGCTCAGCGGTTAAGAGCGCTGACTGCTCTTCCAGAGGACCGGGGTTCAATTCCCAGCACCCACATGGCAGCTCACAACTGTCTGAAAATCCAGTTCCAGGGGATCTGACACCTGCACACCAATGCACATAAAAGATAAATCATAAAAAAAAATTAAAAAAAGAACACAGTGATGGCTGGTGGCTGTTTACTCTGTGTCTGTGAGCTGAAGCCAGATCTGACCAGGGAAGGCAGCATCCAGGCAGGGCTGAGATGAAATGGCCTAGGACTCGTCTACCTTTGAGCATGTGTGGCTCATAGCCTAAGCCAGCACCAGTTTCAAGCATCCCAGTAGCCTCGTCCTTGTGGAGTCTCTCTTCAGTGCCGTATGGCTTGCTCCATCACCAAGTTATCCTCCATCCCTACTCCTTTGTGAGCTGATTTACTGGAGATGCAGTTGGACGAGGAGCCATGGCTAACCCACATTTTCCTGTGCTCACCTCTATGCACATGCAGGGCAGGAGGAATTCATAAGGCAGGTCTGCAGTGTGGCCCCCAGACACAATTTTCTGTTGATAAATCACAGAGGGAGAGGAAAAGAGACACCTAAGGAAAAGCCTGGTCACTGTGGACAAGGCAGGAGGAAGCTGGGACCTTGGACAATATGCCTTACTTTCCTTCTCCATGACACTGCTTTCTCCCTCTCGTAGGATCTTGGTTCTCTACTCTGGCCATTTGCTTGAGGTACTCTACAAGGAGTAGGGGTAGGGAAAGGACTGGACATTTCTTGAGGTCCAGCTGTATGCCATGCAGAGTGTTGGAAGCACCAGCTCTACTAAAGGTTAGTATCACCGTGAAGTTAGAAGATATAGTCATTGCAGACAAGAAGCGAGCTGAGGGACCCCAGAGAAAAGCATCAGTCTCTGCTCGTGATGCCCAGCTAAGCACAGTGGCATCTGTGATGACTGGAGGGTGAAGTGGACTGTGAGATTGGAGAATATCATTTTCTGAGGGACAGACCAAAGGTGTGAGAGGGAAGAGCACCAAGGCACCTGTGACAGTTTGGTCAAATTATCAGGGAACAACCTCCTGAGGAAATAACAAAGCTTTTGTTGCTGTTTTCCTTAAGACTTGTGTACCCTAAACTGACTTCAGACTCATTATATATCCAAGGAAGGCCTTGAATTTCTGGTCCTCCTGCCTGTACCTCCCACCCATTTGTACAATGCCAGAGGTCAAGCATGCTGGGCAAACGCTCTACCAACTGAGCTATGTCCCCAGCCCTAGCAACGGTCTCTTAATTTGACCCAAATCACACCAAGGGTCCTCTCTCTCCCTGGGAATACATAGTATACTCATTTCTTTCTGGCCTCTCCTCTTGAGTAACAGAGCCCATCACCATTTCTGCCTAGTCAAAAAAACCTCTCGATGCTACTACCTACCTCGTTTTCCAAGGAAGTGTTAGATAACTACTCTCCTTGTCTGGGTCCCAGTTGCCTTCCCCAACCCCCATTTTCTGAGAAACTGTATAATCGGTCTCTTTATAGGGAATGGAACTCCATACCTGGGTATCAAAGGGACTGCTCATATCTTCACATTCCAGGGCCCACTGGTAACAGAGACGCACACTAGCCTCTGGGCCTGGAGGAAGAGTCACCCTAATAGCCTGTGCCTCAGGCAGCAAATCAAAGGAGAATTCAGGTCCTAGGCAGAAGGAAGACTCAGTGAGCCTGGCTCAGGTAAGGCTGAAACCACTTGCTGTTGCTCATCAGGCCCTACCTCCACGCTTCTGTGAACCTGCTCTAGGAAGATGCTCCACTCCTCCCGTGTCCAAAGGCTGGGTCCTTTTGGAGCGTGACCCTCTGTGGGAGATGGCTGGGAAGGGGCTGGAAATGCGATGGCCTTCCTGAGACAGGGAAAGGCTGCCTAGCAGCTTCCTCTGCAAGCAGAGCACAAATGTTAGACATCATGATGTTAAGCCAGGATCCAGGACATCTGCTTTCTAGTTCTGCCTTTGAAACCTGAGAGACCACAGGCAAATTGTTCAAGTTCCTTTGACCTCAGTTTCCCCTACTGTATAATTGCCACATGCTCAAACTCCCTCTTGTAGCTGGAGAACTAAATAAGGGGCAAGAAAGAAAGGAGTTGCGGGCCATAGAGTAGAGCTGTGAATAACAGGTACCTGGGAGGATGCCGGTGTCCTGTGCCTCCAGTAGAATTCAAACATAAGAGGACTTTTAGATTTCTTCACCAAGAGAGGGAACCAACCCCACTGAAGGCCTGTAGGAGGGAGACACCCTTCTTACCTGGGAATTCTTGGCCCCTGTCCTACCTGGAGATGCAACCCAATGTTGAGTAAGAAGTCAATAGAAATCAAGGATAGCAATGATATTGAGCTCCTTTATTGGCAAAAATTATGATTTAGTAAAAAAAGAATTAAGCCCCTTCAAGGCTCAGTGAGCATGGAAAAGGGAGCAGAAAAAAACGTGAGAGCCAGGATGTGAAGGAGTGCAATGAGGTCTCTAGACATGGCATGGCTGGCGTGTTCATGAGCCCACCGCAACCGTGGTTACCTGCACGAGGCTGCACAAGGCTGAGCCAGCAAGCTCAGTCAGCATTCCAGCAAGTGGACTCACTGATTCGACTCAGTGAGTTACAAAACAAACAGAGCAAGGCATGGTTTTCTACTTGTATCGAAAGGCAGAGGCAGGCAGATCTCTTGATCTTGAGGCCAGCCTGGTCTGCTCTGCAGTTCCAGGTGAGCCAGGACCACACAGTGTGCTTCTGTCTTGAAAAGCTGAGGGCTGTGTGTGCGCAGAAGGATGGAAGAGCAGTTCAGAGCACTCACTATTCTTAGGGGACCCAAGATTGGTTCCTAGCACCCACATGGTGGCTCGCAACCGTCTATAACTCCAGTGCTACCGGGATTTGATGTTTCCATGGGTACTATATGGATGTAATACACATATATACAAGCAGGCAGAACACTCATACACATAAAACAAATCTTAAAAAAAGAAGAAGAAGACACGATGTGGAACAACGATGCATTGGGAGTTACCCAAGGGAAATAGGAGGGAGGAACTGTGGATGGCTAGGATCGAGACGGATTGGATGCACGTATGAGATTGTCGAATAATAAGTAAAAGCTATTGTATTTATTTTAAAAATCTTTGTTTATTCATTTTATTTTATGTGTATGAGTGCCTTGCCTGCACATATGTATGTGCACCATGTGCATGCCCAGTGCCTGCTGAGGTTCCCTGGAACCAGAGCTACACATAACTGTGAGCCACCATGTGGGTGCTGGGAACCAAATATAGATCCTATGGAATAGCAGTCAGTGCTCTTAACAACTGAACCATCTCTCCACCCCTAACGAAAAATATGTAAAAAATAAATAAAACAAAGAAGAATGATTTAAATAGAGAACACACACACACACACACACCTCCCACAAAGGTAGGTGCTAATTGTAGCACACCTTTTTTTTTTTTAGACAGGGTTTCTCTGTGTGTCCCTGGCTGTCCTGGAACTCACCCTACCCTATAGCAGGCTGTCCTTGAACTCAGAGATCTGCCTGCCTCTGCCTCCTGAGTACTGGATTAAAGGTGTCCACCACCACTGTAGAGCTGTAGCATGATTTCTAATGGTGAAAATTTTTAAACTAACTTTTTGTGATGTTATTTTATTTATTTGTTTGTTATTGGTTTTTCAAGACAGCGTTTCCCAGTAGTTAAGAAGCCAATCCTGGGGCTGGAGAGATGGCTCAGCGGTTAAGAGCATTGCTTGTTCTTCCAAAGGTCCTGAGTTCAATTCCCAGCAATCACATGGTGGCTCACAACCATCTGTAATGAGGTCTGGTGCCCTCTTCTGGCCTGCAGCATACACACAGCTAGAACACTGTATATGTAATAAATAAATAAATATTTAAAAAAAAAGAAGCCAATCCTGGAATTTTCTCTGGAGACCAGTCTAGTCTTGAACACACAGAGATCCGCCTGCCTCTGCCTCCTGAGTGCTGGGATTAAAGGTGTGACTTTATTTTATATTTAATTACATGTGTGCATATGTATATGTGTGCATAGGTATATACAAATGAGTGCAGGTGCTCGAGAGATCAGAAACCTCAGATTCCTTGGAGTTGACATACAGACAGTTAAGAACTGCCTGACGTGGGTGCTGGGAATTAAACTAAGGTTCTCTGCAAGAGCATCTAGTATTCGTGACTGCTGAGCTATCTTTCCATCCCCCCATATCCGCTAGTTTTAAAGTGTGTGTTCAGTGTGTGCCTAGTAAGACGATGGAACAGCAGAGCGACAATCCCATTTTACAGATGGAAAGTAACAATAGCAAGTCCATAGCACACACAACTTTCAGGAATTGGTACCAGATGAAAGATGACACCTCCACAAAGATACAGTTGTCCCCTGAATATTTGTCACGATCTTATCCTAGGATGCTCTAGTCCCTGTTGAGGTTGACAGGACAAAAACACGTTCCAGTATAACAACTGACACGTGTGTCAGCCTAGGTAGTGGTTCTGCAGCTGTGCCTAATCCAAACCTCCGCTGAGGATGGCTCGGAGGCTGCTTTTCCTACCTGAAGGACGGGACATCAGCTGCAGGCACAAACAGCAGGGCCAGTGCCAGGGCTTTGTGGCTAGGAGGGTAGGGCAGGGAGTTTGAGCAGAACTTCCTGTGTAAGACAGAAAGGAAAGTCGGCACAGTGACACATGGCTGTAAGTCATTCCTTGGGAGGCTGAGACAGGAGGGTTAAAAGATGGAGACAGTTGTGTGGTGGTGGTGCACACCTCCATCCCAGCGCTCAGGAGGCAGTTGTGTGGGGATGGTGCACACCTTCATCCCAGCACTCAGGAGGCAGTTGTGCGGGGGTGGTGCACACCTCCATCCCAGCGCTCAGGAGGCAGTTGTGCGGGGGTGGTGCACACCTCCATCCCAGCGCTCAGGAGGCAGAAGCAGGCAGATCTCTGTGAGTCTGAGGTCAGTCTAATCTACAAAGTGAGTACCAGGACAGCTAGGACTACACAGAGAAACCCTGTCTCAAAAAAATAGAGACAAACAAATAAATAAATAAAGGATGGAGGCTTTGGTATTACACAGTGAAGCCCTGTCTCAAAACAAAAAGAGGAACAAGAAAAACGGTAGGTCTAAGGAGGTCCTGACTATCTCCTCTAAACTGGATTTAAGACTGGGCTCTGACAACATCCAAGTACAAGCTTGGATAAATTAATGGACAGGGGCCAGATTGCTCTTCCGTAAAATGGGGTTGTTATAAGGACCACGTAACATAAAAAATGGGGGAAAGCTTGGTAAAGCAGAATGTACCATAAAGTATGAAAGAGTATTCTTCCTGATCAAGTGAAGGGCCAGTGAGAGGAAGATCCAACTTGTACAGAATGCCTGGGGATTAGCCAAGGCGCTCATCTTATCCTCCCCATTGGCTGGAAGCAACACTGTCCCTATCACGTAATCATTTCTCTGCTGCTCCTGTGCTCAGAGGCCATGGCCAAATGGCAGAGTGAAGAACATTGCTGAGTATTCCTAGAGTCTGAGGGAGAATTACAATGCAAACCTAAACTAGTCCTCCACTTTCTCATTGAACCTCGGGTTAGAACTGAAATTGCCATGGATGGCTGAGTGGGACCTGGAACTCAGAGAAGCATGGGGAAGGGAAGCAGAACAAAAGCTAAGACTCACCAGCGGAACTCTTATCCTGAAGGTACAGGGCCAGCGGGAAGAGAAAGGAGAGAGGCATCATTAGAAGGGACTTGTGTAAGGTGCATTCTCCCCGAACTCTGTGTCAAGCATCCAGTTCTGAGACCCACAGACGTCCATCCACGCCAGCTGTTTTCTTCTCAGTTCCACCCTGCCAAGGACCTCAGCACACCGGAACCTTACCAGTCCCTTCAAGACCACACAGTGAACACAATGAGGCTGCCACTAGAGCACAGGGATTTCAGAGGTAGGAGAAGGCGGGCGGGAGACTGGGGAGCTCTACCCTGTGCCAAGCAAGTGTCCCCCCACTTAGCAGCAGGACCTTACCACACGGAGGGCCAGTAGACAGCGGCTGATCCAGCGTGGCAGGTAGGGACAGTCAATCTCAGCAGACACAGACAGGCTGAAGAGCAGCAGGAGGAGAGGCAGAAACAAGGCTGCCAATCTGGAGCTCCCCATGAGCTTCTGCAGGATCGGGACACAGAGACCATGGCTTTGTTGTCTGCAGGAGGGCAGCAGGGCCTGGCCCTGGAGTTGTGAGGAGTACACACGGTACCAGCAGGCGCTCTCACCTAGCCCTGCCTGGGATCCACCCTGCCCTGAAGCTCCTCCTCTATCCCAACCAGCAGGCTAGGTAACATTCCTTCCCCCGAGCCAGGGCACTGAGGAACCTTGTTCACTTGTTCGCCTGTTCCGTAGAAAGTTTTACTGCTCTCCCATCACAGGGGGGCTCCTGGTGTGGTGGAGAGTTAATAGGAAAGGGACCAGCACCCTGCTGTGGAGATGCACCCGTTTCTTAACCCCTCCTACTCCTCAGACACTGCAGAGCCGACACACCTATTAGTTTGCTCTAGAACTTGAATCTGCCATAGACAGTTACACATCTTTGATTTTGAAGTTTAACTATTCTGCACTTATGTACACTGAATTGGTCCATCATTTTAAGCCAGGCCAAAAATAAGTAAACATTATGTAACACAAGTAAGCCTCCTCCTGTGTTCCCCATCCGCACTCTGGCTCCCCACCTGGCTGACAAAAAAAAAAAAAAAAAAAAGCCCAGCTTTCTTTAGCTCGTTAGCCCTTTCCAACTCTTCTCGACTCCAAAGTAGTTTCCAACTTCAAGGACCAACTAAATATGGCTTGTTCAGGAAGCCCCAGAACTGATAGCTGAGCTCTGGAGCAGAGGGAGCAGCCCCATGCACTGACCTGGTTTCCTGCGGTTTCCGGTGCAGGAAAGAGGCTGACAAGGCTCCAGGCTTTGTGGGGACCCTCCCCATCATCTCACGGCTTCCTCTCACTCATGGAGCACTTGAGCTGCGTCAGCCCTCCCCTTGGCAAAGCCAACGATGGAAGGAAAGTATGGGGCACGTCCACTGGGTGGAGGCCTCTTGGTATTGCTATTGCGTTTCCTCTTTAAATTAATATAGAAAAAAATTTTAGAGGTGTGTGTGTGCGCACACGTGTGCATGCGTGTGTATTGTATGCACAGGCGGGCGGGCGCACTTGCCCATGCAGGCTGATGTGGAGGCCAGAGGCTGACACCGGGGTGTCTTCCTGAGCTTAGAGCTTGTTTCAGCTAGGCTGGTGGGGCAACAAGGCCCTAGGATCCGCCTGTCTCCTCTACTCAATGCTAGCACTACAGGTATATTCTGCCATGGCCTGGTCAGTGCTGGGGTCAGAGCTCAGGTCCTCAAGCTAATGCAGCGCACTTACATACTGCGTCACCTCTCCAGTCCTGCGACTATCAGTATCAGTCTCACGTAGGCTAGGATGGCCTGAAATTCTGTGTAGCCAAGGATGTCCTTAAACTCCTGATCCTATCTCTACTTCCCAAAGGCTGAGGTTACTGGCATGAACCACCATATCCAGTTTCTGCAGTGCTGGAGACTGAATCCAGGATTTTGTGCTAGCATCTCTACCGACAGAGCCACATCCTAGCTCTAACAATTTGTCCTTTTGAGATTCAGTCTGGACCACCCTTCAGAAACATGAGTGCAGCCTTCTTTTGGTCATTCCTAAATCATTTGGCCCACATCTGAAGTTCCCAATCTACCTATGATCCTAAAAGTATCCTTTTGCTTTTGCATTCATAATTTTTTTTTATTTGTTTGTTTTTTGAGACAGAGTTTCACTACATAGCCCTGGCCATCCTGGAAGTCACTCTTCAGACCTTGAACTCACAAGCGATTTGCCTGCCTCTGCCTCCCAAGTGCTGGGATTAAAGATGTGTGCCAGCACCATCCAGTACAATAAACACTATTTTTAGACGTAAATAAAAAGAAAGCTGGGAATAAACTCAGTGGCAGAGCACTTGCTTAGTGTCTGTAAGACTGGGTTCAACCCTAGTGCTGACGGAAGGAGATGGAGAGACTCGTTTGTTCTTCTCTGGTGCCTAGCAGTAACTGTCGGGAAGCAGGTGCTCCATGGCTGAGTGAACACCAGTCATGATACATTTCATCTAAGTAGCTTATCTATTCTAGTTCACAAAGCAACAGCCATATTTGATCCCTCTAAACACCCTGTGAGGCATACAAGTGAGATTATTTGCTTAATTTCATAAGGAGAGAAATAAGGAAGCAGAAGGGAGAATGATTTAGTCAAGGTCAAAGTCTGTAGCCCAGGGAGCTGCACTTGTGCCGGGCCTACCAACCCCCCGGCATCCTGCAGTCTCCTGGCTTCACCTTCCTCTTTGAACCAATAGGGTCTGCTGACCGTTCTTCCTTGTGCAGAGCCAGCCTCTACTACAGCCAAGTCAGTGAGCTCTAGAGAGCAGAAAAGGAGGTCTAGCCAGAGTAAGCATGGCACCAAGAGCTTCCCTCCTTTTTCGCCTCATGGAGGTTCTGACACACAGGAAACATTTTTCTTTTTTAATTCTTAAGGTTTATTATTAATGTATATGAATGTTTTACCTGCGTGTATGTATGTACATCATGTATATGATGGGTGCCCTTAGAGACCAAAGGACGTATCAAATTGTCTGGAACTGGATGGTTGTGAGTCTCCATGTGCTCTTATTCCCTGAGTCATCTCTCAGCACCACCACTTAGTGTCACATACTAACACTTGGTAATGTGAACTCTGTTCTACACTTGTCTTTCCTGATTCCTGGATCTTCTGACCTGACTCTCAAGATGGGAGGGTTTGGTTAGTTGCTTCCTGATGGTGGCTAAAGCATGGTAGGAGAAGCAGAAAAGAAATGGTAACAATAGAGAAATAAAGGCAAAGGGAAAAGGCAGAGAGGGGGAGGGGACAAGAAGTAAAGGATGAGAAAAGGCGTAAGTCAAGGAATCAGGGAGGCCAGGCAGGGCGACGCACACCAGAAGTGGAGGCAGGTAGATCTCTGGGAACTTGAGTTTGAGGACAGCCTGCTCTACTTAGGGAGTCACACGGCAGTCAGGGCTACATAGTGAGACATTGCCAAACAGACAAACAAACAAATAAAAGACAAAGCAAAAAGTGGGAAAAGGAAGTCTGCGGTTTATTGTCTTGCTAGTTCACATATTTGGTGTGGCTGGAGCCTGCTCCAAAAAGAGAAGGGATGAAATCAATATTTGCTAAACTACCTGGCTTTAGATCATGCCCATTGCTCTCTTTAGCTTGTGTTATTAACATTACAACCCTTGAGGTCAGGCTACTGACCAGTTTTAGAAAGGGAGCACTCAGGAAGACTGAGATTTGTCCAAATACACACACAGCAAAGAAATGGACAGAACAACACACCATGTAGTTTGTTTCTCCTGTCACAACGTAATACGGGGGTTCTGGGAATTTCTGGACCCCGTTTTGCACAGAAAGTTTTCCAAACACAGGTAGACAATCCCAATCTGAGAGGCAAGCACAACACTGTTTACCAGGAAAGGCATCCTGATACGTAAACCTCTGTGCACGAGGCAGTTCATCCACATGTATTTTAGCCTCACAGCAATGGAGAGACCGACGATGCCCATGCATCACATAAAAATAGGCTCAGCTGGAAGTGGAAACACCCACTATCCCAGCACTACGGAGACAGGAGGGCTGCTGAGTTCACGGACAAGCCGAGCTACCGGGGGGAGTATACAAGGATGTCAGGAAGTGGGGAGGAAATAAAGATGCGGCTCAGCTGAGAGAACACTTGCCTAATAAGTATGAGGCCCTACTTAATCCCTAGGATGGCAATAAAAGGTAATAAACAAAAGATAGTAAGATCCCTGGCTAAAATCTCAGCCTAATTACCACTGCCCACAGCACACACTTTCTTGGGGTTTAGACCCTCTCTCAAAGTGCTCTCCAGTGTCTTCACTCTCTTGTCTTGCCGTACAGACCAGGTGACCACCACCACTTTTGACATCCATACTGTGTTAAGAGGACATAAAATGCCTTTGCAAGGGCCAGAGGGATGCTGCAGCGGTTCAGGGCACTGGCTTCTCTTTTAGAAGTTTTGGGTATCATTCTCAGACCCCACATGGCAGCTCACAAACATCTGTATCTCTAACCCCAGGGGATTGGTTGCCCTCTTCTGGCTTTTTTAGGCACCATGTTCACATGTGGTGCACAAACATACATGCTGGCAAAACATTTATGTACAGAAAAATTAATTTAATTTTTTTTAAAAAAAATCTACACCAGGCATGATGTCACACACCTTTAACCCCAGCACTCAGGAGGCAGAGGTAGAACTATTTCTGTGAGTTCAAGGCCAGCCTGGTCTAGAGTGAATTCCATGACAGCTAGGGTTGTTACACAGAGAAACCATGTCTCCAAAAACAAAACAAAAAAATTAAAAAAATTAGTATTATGAAATGCCTTCATAATACTTTGCCTATTAGAGCTTTAAACCAACCTGGAAAACAGGCAGGGTTGATCTTAGTCCTATGATTGACACTTCAGCTCCAATCTTGTTTTTTTGAGACAGGGTTTCATCAGGCTGGCCTCAAACTCAGTATTCCTCCTGCCTCAACCTCCCAAAGGTTGGGATTACAGACATATACCACCATATCCAGCTGAATTATCTAACCCAAACAGCATTCGTTCCACTAAATCAAGAGGACTCATTTGTGAACACCAACGAGGCAGAAAAAAAGCGATAGGAAAAGGCTAGAAAACAGAATTCCAGACAAAGAACAACAAACTGGTGTGCAGTTGTTTGGAAACGAGCAATGTGTGCCTCAGCTGAGCTCATGGCAAACTCCCTTCCAGTTCCTGCTTCAGTCCAGTTATGTTCTCTGTGAAATACAGACTTTGGTCCACAAAAGGGCAAGTTAATTTATTCAATAAGCTCAGAGTGAACACTAGTGAGCAAGGGAACAGAAGACATGCAAACTAGAAATTCTGTCAATAAAACAAGGTGTAATGGTGCATGCCTGTAGGCAGAAGTTTTTGTCCTACCCAGTCCTGCAGCCATTCAGTCCCAAAGAAACACACAGAGGCTTATATTAATTATAAACTATTTGGTCTATTAGCTCAGGCTTATTACTAACTAGCGCTTACAACTTAAATTAACCCATAATTCTTTTCTGTTAGCCATGTGGCTTGGCACCTTTACTCAGTGAAGCATTCTCATCTTGCTTCAACTGCATCTGGCTGGTTGGTGACTGCACAACCAGACTAAGAGAATTCTGGGAAAGGGAAAGAAAGAGCCTCAATGGCTGTGGGACCAGAGGGGACAGAAAATTCCATCTACACATGCTTATAATCC